AAACACACACACACGCACATGGATTGAGTTGTACAATTAAAACCAACCCCATATCGTGTAACGATACATTCAAACATACACATCTACACATATTTTAAGTTAGAATCAAAATTGTATATAAAGACGGGAAAGAGTAAAATAAAATCAGAATGAATATATTCTCAGCTCAATAAATATCTTTATTTTCCCCCACTAGCGGTAAGAGTCTAAAGAAATGTTTTGTTCGAGTATTATTATTAAAATGCCGTGACCTGTAATACAATTAAGCTTCGTAGAAGAAAAACGAGAAAGAGCAATATGTTAGAGTCATAGTGAATAAATTGTCACATCGACGACTCCGATAAAATCAACCGATATCCTCTAAGTATAAACAATTTCAATTTTTAATTGACAAGGGACTGCTTAAGGCAATTGCATAATTTGATGAGGGTTGGAAATCGCGAATAGAACCCAGCGGAATTTAAGCGGGTCATTCTCCAGCTCTATAATTTTATGTAATTTATATATCTCTAAGTCACTGATTCGACCGTAAACTTTATACGAATATCAAAAGCTTCTTTGGTATTCATATACTGGCTTGAGTACAAGACAGACATCCATCATAAAATGAAATTTTTATGCACTCTATTTGCTGTGCAGTCCCTGTCATTTTACTGCACACACAAAGTGCATTCTGCATCTACTTGCAACGGCCGGCAGTCCTTGGTAAAACAAAACAACAATTACTTGTGCAAAGATTTGCTTCCGTTTCCACTGTAGCTCCGCGGACCTTCCCCTCCTTGCAGAACTAACTGCAGTAAAACAGATATGCTTGTTGCTTTTAATTTCACTCATTCCATCGACGTAATTGTTGTTGGAGCTGTATCCGTCAACAAACCTTTAATATTAAATGAACCATGTTATGATGTTAATTTTCTGATTAATTACCGCGATGTTATGTCTGTGTGTATGTGTACGATCAAAGCACACACTTCCAAATGCATACGTCCATGTTTTTGTTTTTGTTATAATTGCAACAGCTGATGGAGTGCAATGATTACGTGGACGCGGCCACTAGCTGTTGTCTGTCGCACTCGAGCCGCAGCAGCCCTTAGCCCCCATACTCTTCCTTCTCTTTACACTAATGTAAAGCAAACGAGTGTGTGTTTGCTCGCGCATGTTTGCCTACTTTTAGGGGCTGCAGCCGATACTCACACCTACACCTAACCTAATTTCATGCAAATATGGCCAATGTTGTTGGCCAATTACCAGATTTGTTCAAGCATTCTTCATCAATGTGCGGTGTAATGATAAACGGTGTTCGGTAATTCATTTGCGGATGACAGGAGTAAGGCAGACACTCCAAAGTAATAAGATTTAAACTAGCATGATAATGTGGGAAGTTGTCGCCACACGCGCATCCATAGGCTTACCAATTTGGAGTGATTCGTCTGTGAAAGAATTTAGAAACATTTTACTTCAGGTTGACAGCTTTCCTTATCCCCATCTGCCACCCGTTTTACGTCGCACCCTTTTCGATTTGCCACGAATGAGTTGAATTGCGTCAATCCAATTTTCCCCGTGTAATTTGTGTAAAATCCGAGTGTTTGCTTGTGCCGCACCGTCTCCTTGAATAAACTGGCCTAGTGGCTTGCGTTGAGCACGACTGGTGACAACAAAGGGTTGCGCCATGCCTTGGGCTTTCCATGCTAGATTGTCAGTTTATTTTGGCATTTTAAATTGGTTTGTCGTGTAGTTAATTTGTTAACACGAAAAGTTTACGGCCAGAGTTTTAGGTTTCTTTTATGCTAAGCTCAAGCCAGAAGCCAATCGGCCTACTTATTATCGTGGTATGAATGTTCTCGCGCTTGTTGGATGGATTAGCGGTTTTATGAGGGTTTAATTTATTTAAAGATGTTTTGTGATTCGTCCCTCCATTATTTGTGTATGAGTTCCATTCAATCTAAATAGTAAAAATATAAACATATTTTATAATTATACTCTTGAATTAAATATTATATTTAAAAATTATAATTCGTATAAGTACCAACAGAAAACTATCAACGCGTAGAACAAAGTTTCTATTTGTTTCTTAGAGAAAGTATGTCATAACTGATATAAACAAACGTAAAGTTTGATTTTTAATCTCTCAAAAACAACTCAGTACTTAAAATTAATTAGCCATACTGCATCTTGCTGTTAAAATATGGCTAAATAGAAATGCAAATTATTGATTTATTTTAAGTTTTAATTTTAATTTATCTTTTTTGATAAAGAGAGCAAACAATTTTTCCAAAGGACAGTAACTAAACATTTCATTTGTTTTATTGTTAACGTGTATTTTAATGTTAGCGAATCTTTTTCCTTAAATCAGGCCACTAAAATAAAACGGATTCTACAAATTCTTTGACAAAAACTTTAGTAATAAGGTAACTAACTGCAATGGGGGACTGCTTTTGTTTGTTGGGAGGCACCAGGGTTGATTTTTTTTGCATTTAAATCGATCAATATTTTAAATAAATCGGACATTTCCGCATTATTTCTTGTGTAAATAAGAATGAAGACAACGTCTGCGAAGCTCTTTAATAAGTATATTCAACATATTTATGTAAGTTACATAGTTAAGTCCTTACCAGGGTTGCGAATTTTATTATTCAAAAATTTTGGATCAAAAATTAGATTTTCAGTTTTGGGATTACAAAAGAAAAAAATTCAATTCAGATGTTAATTTAATAATTTTTAATGCGTTATTTGAGTTCAAATTAGTGATTGTATTATCATTACAATAACAATCAATCCACTCGCATTTTTAAACACTCTACCGAATATGTTATGTGATATTTCTGAATACGTTTACTTAAGTCTCTATTATTAATGCAATTGAAAATGTTATGTCATACGATTGCATCTTCAAGCTAGTAATTACAATTATACTCGATTACAATCACAACTTTATATTAAAGGCAAACAATCTGGTCATGTAATCAAATCGACTGTTCAAATTATATACTCCTGTCGAACTAAAATTATGTGTTTATATTTATTGTAATGAAGAATTTAATTGCATACACACATATACGCACATATTTATACACTTACTCATATAAGTAAATGTGCTTGTAATTGATTTATTACTCATTTGTAACCAATAAGCAATGCAAGCAGATCGCATAATGTTTTGCAAAGCGAGCAAATTGCTACAAATGCTTATATACATATAATATGTACATATGCATATACAAGTATGTATACGAATACTAATACTTAATGTACATATGTATGTGTGTGTGAGGCATGAAGCAAACAGGCAAGTTGTTAGCAACCCGGATCAAGAGCGATCCATCTTATAAAAGTGTTGATGATTTGCGTTTAATTGAAAGACGGCCCAACGGAAGTGACCATATGCACTTGATAGCCGATGGGCAACACCCACTGAGACAACCATAAACGTATGTACATAAAAGTAAGAGATACAATGTACAGTAGTATTCCGAAATAACAAATATTCGTTTTAACGAAAACCGCTTATAACGAACAAGCAATTTTTTTACATTGAGTACCTTAAATAACGAATAAAGGAAATTTTTCAGTACTCGGTTTAACGAACAACACCGTTGTTATAAGTAGAAGGGGTTCCAAAAGTATATATAAAATAGTGGTGAAAACAGAATACAAAACAGTTCATGAAAAAAATTCAAAAAAACAATAACTATATATATATAATGTTACTATATGTTTTGTATTTCTTTCCTATCAACTAAGTGTAAGAGCAGGTTAATTTTGTTGAAGAGTATGATCTTTCTATTTCGTCATTCTTAGGGCAAGATGAGGATTCTTCGGCAATAAGGAAAATAATTAAATTCTTGAGTTCGACTTTTCCAAATGTAAATAACGTCAAATTATATGCTTAGACCTGCTAATTCCAACGAAGTAATCGACGATTTATCAATTTTTTAAATAGCTATAGAATTTTAAAATATTATTTATATACAAATATCTTGATCCCATAACAGTAAGGTAACATGCATAAACGCTTTGAACTGTTCCTTTTTAACAAATAATTCAATAAAGAATATATTAATCAGCAATTTTCGGTTAATTTACTAATTTTTATTGAAAAACATACCTCGCTAAGTGAATACTCGAATTAACGAAAAATTCGATATAACGAACTGGTCTGACAATTAGTGTGTTCGATATTTCGGAATACTACTGTACTGTATCTATGTATGTATGTCTAATAGTAGACATGAGAGCGCCCCGCAGCTGAATGAGTGTGTTTTAATTGAATTTTGATTGGCACATGCCGGTGTGCCGAATGAGTTCGAAAAATAACTGTTATGGATGAGCTCTGTGTTGTTGCACACCCACATACATGCAAACAGCAAGAGATAACGGAACATGTGTACCCTCACGCGGCAACAGATAACATTATGCATGTACGAATGTGTGCCGTTGCTCTCACAAATAAATACACACACATACACTTGTTCACCTTAATTCCCTAAGAGCGCGTGGGCGGTTGCTCATATGTGTGTGTGCGTCTGCGTATTTGTTTGTATTGGCTTTTCCAATTAATTCCGTAATGCTACTCGTGTTGATGTGTTGTTATTGTTGCTGTAGTCGATCCCCCTATTGTTTGTTTTGCTATCATTGGAATTGTTTTCTTGGTATTCGTTTTTGTTATTGTTATTGCTGTCAGTACTTTTGTGTTATTGTTGTGATTGAGCAACGCATCGGTGATTGATTTCATCAAATGACCACTTCGAGTTGCGGCATTTCCACCTTCATCAAACGGGTGACATCAAAGTGTCGTAGAAAGGCTTTAAGCGCCCGGACAAACCCCTGAACAGTCTATTATGGGGCTAATAATGTTGGAGAGGGATGTTAGGTGGTGTGAATGATTGATAGCTGCCGAATGCTGAATGTCCTTTAAAATGTTAATTGTCTCGTTTATATGATTTGCAATGATTTTATGGGTTTTCTTAGTTTATTTTCCAATTTTCAATTATTTTTTGCAGCTCACGACCTCAATGACATGGATCAGGATGACATGTGCGATGATGGGATGAGTAGCGACATTGATGATCCGGGCAGCGAGACGGACTCAAAGAAGGGTGGCAGTCGCAATGGTGACGGTAAGTCGCAAGGGGGCAGCGGTGGCGGTTCAAAGCCACGACGTGCCCGCACCGCCTTCACATATGAGCAACTGGTGTCGCTGGAGAACAAATTTAAGACGACGCGTTATTTGAGCGTTTGCGAGCGACTGAATTTAGCATTGAGTCTCAGCCTAACCGAAACGCAGGTGAGCACTGAGATTAATGACAATTTTCATAATTTCGAAGATTTCAAGACTCATGTATTTATGTACTCATTTACGTTTTAAAGAACTTAAAGTAAAGTACATCAAAGCCATTTGGAAATTATATCAATTAAACCCTTAAATCAATATTTTAACTGTGACAACATGTATCCACATAGCATTCCTAATTCAAGATCTTTTACGTAATTTTAGGTGAAAATATGGTTTCAAAATCGTCGCACCAAATGGAAGAAACAAAATCCCGGCATGGATGTAAATAGTCCCACAATACCACCGCCACCGGCGGGAGGCGGTTTCGGACCTGGTGCTTATGCCAGCAGCATCCTCTACTCGCACGCCGTGCCCTATCCACCATACGGCCCTTACTTCCATCCATTGGGAGCACATCATCTCAGTCACTCGCACTCATAAAATTGCAAGATGCAACAGCGACTGTTGCAAATATTAGAAATGCGAAAATATCAAAAGCGCGACGAACACTCGACTAAGATGGGCGGCAGTGAGAGCAGATTGGACAAATAAAATACAGCCCTGAGGGCATTTGATTGGCTTGGGTTGAGCAACTTAACCGGTGACCCTTTGTAAAATGTTATTGCAGTAATGTTTTGAGACTAGACCACATATTCAATATACAATTCTGCTTAGATTTGTGTATTACTGTTGCTGCTTTAAAATGTTAATGCTTACGAACATCGATACAAAAAGAAACTTTATTTGCTGTCAATTATGCACCTCAGACACACAACCCTCTATTGTAAATATGTATGCTGTGGAATATAATAAGTATTAATTTCATGCTGAATTTGAAACTGAGGGCATTGATTAAAAATTTAATACTATATTTAGTACCAAAAATTAAATTGTGAACAATGTATGTAAATATATAATTCAGACTATATAAATACGTATGTATGTTAGGTAATCATAATTATTGTAGATATGTAAAGCTTTAAATTAAACATTAGCTTCTAGTAAAAGGCTCTGCTTTTTATCTCTAATTGCAAGAAAACTAAATCCAAATGTGAATAAAATTAATGAAAACACCAGCGATCATTTTTTAAACTAAGTCAAAGAAAATGAAAATTAAAATTATAAAATTTAAAAACATTAAACTACGTATGTCATAAAAATATATAACGGATTGGCATTTTTTTGGGGTTTACTCACTAGGATTAAATAGGGGATGGTAAAAAAATTTTTGTGAATATGGTTTTCGACAATGATTTGTTTAAGCCGAGCAAATATTGTTTTGCAAGAAATCAAAGAAAATTATTTCTTTAGACTGAACAATGGACGTGGCACCGCCCTCTTTTAAGTGAATTCGGACTACAACCACGCCTACTTCCCATATATCACAATTTTAAACTCAATCTGATTCATTTATCTGTTAATCTGTGAGATCTAGTATTGAAATTAGAAGAAAACATTTTTATGATAACAGCTTTTCTTCCAAAACTGGGTAAAATCGCGTCATTACTGCCCCTAACCTCCATATACCAAATATTAAGTATATCGATCTTTCGATTGACTTTATACCGCCCAAATCGGTCAACATGTAAGATATCTTAATGAAATTCAGAGAAAACTTTTTCTAGAAACTCGTATGATTGTGCTTAAAACTCATAAAATGTGAAAATTATTTTCACAAAATTATGTAGACACATGTTTTCGAGAGTACTTGAGTAACGCTAACCGTAATGCAATCAGTTCCTCTAGCCCCGATGTACGCGACATAGTGATCCATTTCCATCAAACTTTAAAGCATTTATATCGGTCAAAGTGTGATATTTTAATGAAATTAGGTGGACAATTTTTATTAAAAATAATGTGGTTTACTGAATATGACGGTCTAAATACCGTTTCGGTGGGACGTGATATTAAACGTGGTATAACCAAACGCAGTTGCTTGTACAAGGTGAACTCCTAAACTACTAAACCGAGTTTAGTAAACTTAGCACATCGTGTTCAGTTTGATCCTATTTTTCGTAATATAACAGTTATAGACCCAATAATTATACCTAAGAGTGGGCGAACTTGAAAGACTCTCACAAATTGTTAGAATGTAAAGAAATGTGTAAACAAGAACATATTATAAAAGACGAAACTTCGAAAATAATTACATTAGTTGATTTGCCGTCAGGCGAAGTTATGAACCGATGGTGAAACTCACTTACTTAGGCCTATCCCAAATATAGATAATAAGTTCACAAAGCTTAATCAAAACAACAAAAGAGTTCGTTTACACAATAGTCGGTTTCATGTAACCGCATCGAACGATATACTATATTCTTCAACCACACCCAACTCTGAACAGGTTAAATATGAGAGTTTAGAGCAGAGAATGGTTCATTTATTACTTGTAGGAAGATATCTTTTTGTTGCATCTATGTATTTTCAAACTACAAGTATGTGTAGAAGACTGTGGGCCAATTATTGCTTAACCTTTTTCCAAGCCATTTCGTATTGAAGTTACGTTTTGGGGACGATTCGTTGGTAAATGTTCGAGATTATGAACTGATTTCATCAATTTAGGGTATTTAAACCAATAAATACTCATACAGCAGTGCTAGAATAACTAACATATGCAGTTTACTTCGTTAATATGCCGCACTTGCAATCAAATAGACAAGTAAATTGTGAAACGAAATAGTGAAGTCAACTACTTTTAGAAGATATTAACAGTATCAACTTTTGGATATCGCTTTGTAACGTTCTTTCAATGATTAAGACGTTTTCCGCAATGTATTAGAATAAGTGGCATCCAGCTTTTAGTTGTCAAAAAAGGTACAGATGTCAGAAGTTGCTAATGAGGGACTAATTACACGTTTTATAAAACATGCAATTTCATTTAAAAGCGTGACAATGATTTCAACCAAGCGACCACATTTTCTTTATTATAAATCATGCAGAGCGCACATAATCGTTCATAACTTACATTAGTATTACATTTTGTTTATTCATTCATTCGGTCATATCTCAAGTATATTGTTTTGAGTTGAAGGCCATATACTCTGCTTGCCATATGGAGGATTGAATTTGTTCAAACACTATCGCTCTTTAATTCTTCGCTCTCTAAATTTTGCGGATCCCACACGGCGTGTTGTTCTCTGCTCAAGTTTTTAAATTTTAAACTCCTAATAAGACGCTTGACCAGAAATTTTATGGTGGCCATTAACGAAAATCATAACTTCCTATTCTTGAATTTAAAATTTTGAAACGAGCATTTGCTTAGCTTTCAGAGCCAAGCAAAAGCTTTTTTAGTATTGCAAAAACTTCTTATTAACAATCGATAAAAGTTCGAAGCAAACTTTGCAATCCCCATATGTACTCTGTAATGCTGTTGTGAATTATAAAAAAAAACAAGAAAAAACCTTAACTTCGGTTGCACTGAAGCTATAATACCCTACACAAATGCAAAGGTTCCTTACAAGAGTTTGATTCTGATCTAATTTCGTGAAGATATCTCGTCAAATGAAAGAGTTTTCCATGCAAGCACTTTACTCCGTTCGTTCAGTTAATTTGTTAGCTGTATGCTCTAGTGGTCCGATATCCGTTCCGATAAATGAGCACCATCTTAGTGAGGAAAATACAGGTGCAATATTTCAGGTCGATAGCTTTAAATCAGAGGGACTAGCTCGTATATATACAGAGAGACAGACGGCAAACTTAATATACCTTGCTCAGGGTATAATGATAATTAAATCGTTCCTATCGGCGGTGAATATTACTAAATATATGATTTTTCAACCACAAATCCTACAATGGTCAAGAAATCCGGGAAGTTGTTTTCCTAGTTTTAAAGATAAATCTTTCTTCTGATTTTGTAAAACTTGCAAAGTCACTTGACAAAATTCTGTAAAGCAAGGAGGGCTCATTAAAATGTAAATTTAGAATTTTATTAATTTGATATATAATATTTTTGATTTAAGCCTTCTTTCTTCCACCCTTAGAAGTTTCATTCCATATTTACTCGCATAAGGCCATCAAAGATATGTCAACAATGCCTGCAAAGTGTGCAAATTGTATGACAACAAAATAAGTCAAGTGTAAAATTTTAAATTTGCTCCTCATTGCGACAACAAAAACATTCAATTATGTGAAAGTGAACGGAATTTCTTAATCCGATTTGCACTGCAGCCGCAGCCGCCATAGTCATAGCACGAGCACCGGAAGACCAAGAGTGGCCAACCCGAAACCCTGCAACTGATGAATACTAGTAGACGAGTACTACCGTGTATGTCAATGAGTATAGTGAACAAAACTCCGAAACGAGTGTGAGGGCTCAGAGTTAATGCCACATCGTCTTTTTCAGGTTTTTCAGCATCACACAACTTAACTTTTATTGCGATTTGATTATGTAAATATCTCCCACTGCATATCGTTCTTTATCGGATTGTACACTCGTGTGTTAGCTCATGAAAAAGAATAGGTGTAAGCACTAAATAATAGAGACACGCGTCAACTCGGTGGCTTTGCTCAGGCTCGATTCTACTCATCACTGCCGCTGACAGTCCGAACACACACACACACGCACATTTATTTCAATGCATTGAAATATATCAAACAGACAATAAACCGGAATAAAACAACAACAAACACCAATAATAACAAGTAGTTATTGTAAGAGGTGTTGAAAATCCGTCGGCAGTCACATCACAGCACCAAAATGCCTGCAACACAAATACATGAACGGAGCGGGGGAGTTGAGGGCCGCATATTCATTTCAGAAATCCCATCGAAATTACGAATATTTTTTTCAGCTTGAGTTTTCAAATGTGTCATGGTTCTGATTATCGACGCATTCAGACACTGAACAAAAGCAACAACTGTTTTAAAATAAATAAATGAAGTGATAAAATATAGCGAATCGTTCTGAACTGTAGTGAAAGAAGATTTCGAAGTACGTTAACTAGAGAGTGTCATCAGATGAGACAACAAAAATAGGTGAAATAACTCATAACAACGTATAACAACACCGTCAGTAAGCGGGGCAACAACAAGAACATTGAAATTGGCGAGACATCAACATCCATCATTTGTCGAAAATTGAATTTTCTCGTTGCCGAATTTATTTGAATATTAATATGGAAATGTAATGTAGATATGTCGAGCATGTGGGTGACGGTGTGTCTTGTGCAGTTGTTGGCTGAGCACATCTACGCATTGCACTGGCATAAGAAAATTAACGCTCGCTCGTCAATTGTTGTTGTCAAAACCCGTGAACTCGGAAGTTTTGTCCAAATGTATTTACCTAATTCCACAGAAACATGCTCAATTTTCTATATCTATGCATGCGAAGACTCATGTTCATTTTAATAATTCATTGAAATTGTACTTTTCATTTGTTTTCATCCTCTACTTAGGATCTTATTTTTACAATTAGTTACACAAATCCCCTTTGTTGGCTTAACTTTGCTAAATTATGTTACTATAGATTTGTATTGACATGTTTAATTATCACATGTGGACTATTTTTAGCTAAGTACTTGTGCTAATGTATCCGACTTGATAATTCAGCAGAGTTTTACAGTTCATTAAGAGATGTGTGCACTATTTGAGAACTCAGACACATTCGAAATCATAAGCACCATGTTGCTAACGGTTTTTCGTAACACCTAAAACTAATCGAGATAGATACATATAGAGTTATATAGGCATATCAAAATTATAAATGATGACTCAGCAAGGTGGAAGATCACACTGAGACTGTTATGTTCAGTCTTTGTGAAGCCATATGAAAAACTCCTGTAGTTGGATATCAGCTATCTATCGGCAAAAACGCTATGAACCTATCACAAATGATGATAGGGCGAATTAATTTTCGGATGTTTGTTTCATTCTCCGTCCGCCTATCCATAAAAGCGATAACTTGGCAAATTGAATACAACTTAAGTTGCGGTAATTGTTAAGGAAAAACGTCAAACAACATTTTACCGTAAAGATAGTATCGCAGACTAGCATATGAATAGTTTCAATAATTAGATGAAGGGCCGCTTTTGGGTAAAATCCCATACCTTAGTGTGGAATCATTCAACCAATTTGAATTACAATTTCAAAATGAATGTACGGACTACAACCGTTGCTTAAGAAAATAATCCATGCCAAATTTCGTGAAGATATCTCGTCATGTGAAAAAG